TACATTGTACGTTGCGGTGAACATAATTGCAAAGGAACCAAGAATTTTTCCAGCTCAAATAAAATGTCCATAATTAACTTATATAATTTGAAATGGAAAATCACCTAATTAAAATCACTACTCCAGTAGTTCAGAATTTGATTCACGAGGGAATAAATCATAGTTATTAGCGACCATGGAAGTGGAAACGTCTACTTATATGTCAGCGACGTTTTCCGTCAAGGTGAATTCTCACTTTTTTTTTCGGAGTTGAATTAATTGGCGGTTATATTTAGACAATTCCATTACTACCATATGCTCAATATAGGTTTATAGGACAGATTTTTTCTGATTACATTTCCATCGTGTAGGAAGAGACAAGTATTACAACTAGCACGTCTTTATAAAATTCAATATAATAAAAACCATTCTTCCCATACATAAGAACAAATATTTTGCACGCCGCAAGTTTCTCCATATAAAACGATTCAATTTGAGAAGTTGCTGAAAGGATTGCATTGCTCGTAAAGTCTAGGTATAATTGAGTATCATCGGCATAGTGGTGGATAGTACAAAACTTCAGACACTCATGAAAATCCGAGATATAGATGGAAAAAAGAATAGGTCCCAAGGTTGATCCTTGAGGCACTCCGTAATTCACTATTTGGGCATCTGACTTCAATGAACCGACTACTACCGACTGACATCGTTCCGATAAATAGTTACGAATAAGCCCACTAGCTTCCTGAGAAAAACCCTAGTATAGAAGTTTATCACACAAAACATTACGATCAATAGTATCGAACGCCTTACTATAGTCTAGTAGAATCAGGTAAACTAGTTGGCCTTTTTTCAATTGAAATGAGAATGTCATCGGTGATATTTAGTAAAGCTGTAGTGGTGCTATGAGATTCTCGGAAACCAGATTGAACAGAAGTTATAATATTATTTGTTTCAACGAAATGACATATTTGATCTTTCAAGATTAGCTCAAACAGCTTAGATAGAATCGGGAGTATGCTTATTGGCCTGAGGTGACCGAATTCAGTGGGATTAATACGCTTTGGTATGGGAATCACGTTAGGTCGCTTCCAAGCCGCAGGGAAGGTACAAGCAGAAATAGATAAATTAATAATATAAGTAATATGGTCAATAAGTTTAGTTTCTACATAACGCAACATTCGTAGAGATATAAGATGTGTTAGTGAATAATTTAATAGAGTTTACCATTTTTCGCATATTCTTGAGTAATCCTTTTTATGTTGTTCTATTTAATGCGATAAACTTGATAACTACCGAACGGATTCAATTGCTGCGGTTTCCACCAATTGACGGAAGTATTCAACAAAAAGGCTGCCCAATCCTTTCGAAATTTTCGAAATAATCTACAATATATATTGTTTTTCTTTTATACGCCTACAAAAAAGCCCGCGATGTCATGTCTATTTTAAGTATTGCTTACTTTAGTGTACTTAATCTGTGCTTTAGTTCTTTTACCGTTTGAAATAATGATCACATAAAATTGGAAAGCTATTCAGACATATACACCATACAATTCAAATTGATATTTCAGGCGGCATGGTTGTAATTGCGTTGGTTTTATTTTACGTAATGATTAGCTATGAATGTTAAGGTCGCATTTTATTTTGTGTTGTCTTTAGGTGGATATTTTAAAATAAAAATCCATAGTTCCAAACATACTTTAGTTTGAGTGAATATTATCAAGTTATTATTACTTCTTTACATTGATTTCAGTAAAAAAATAGTAGATATTATAAATCATTTGTTAATGAACAAATGACATACACAACTCACGATAAATAAGTAGACAATTATACTTTTAGGTCAAAAATTATGATAAGTAGTCACCTGAATAACACTGCAGGTGTATGTATTTAAAACAATGACTGATTAGCTCGGTCGAATTAACTCGATGAAGGGGCATTGTCTTTCGGAATTCTATTGGGGGGGGGTACAGCTAGTCTAAATTTAAGTTCCTGGGGTACGAGATCCAGGGTACCAGATCAATTTCACACGAAAAACAGTTATTACAAAAATTGTTGAAAATTTCATTTCCTATAATTTTGGTCATCATCGATTTTTTCCTACAATCGATAATTTTCAATTTATACTCGAAAAGAGGGGATGATTTTTTGTTAATTAAACAACTCGATTATTTTCAATTTCTCGAGAGAAATTGTAATCAACAAAGTTGTTTGAAATCAAACTTCCTACAATGGTGGTCTTCATCGTGAGTATTATCAAAATTACTGCAATGAACCATATTCGCGGTAAGCTGGGGGAATTTTCTGGTTGATATAATGAATAAAAGAATCAAAATGAACTATTCAAGAATCATTTTATTGTGAGATGTTCACTAAACAGTGTTACAAAAACGCAACACGTGTTTCGCTAAACGCCTTAAAGGCTATTGTATAGCGACACACGTGTTGCGTTTTTGTAACTCTGTTTAGTGGAATTCTAACAACGAAGAGTTTCTTGAATACGTTATGGATTTTCATCAAGTATCGGCCAATCCGTAAAATATCAAAATGAAGTCTCAAATCTTGATAGATATAATTTTGTTCTGAGAATGATTACACTAGTTTACAGCCAATTTACAACTGTAATGCCAAAGGTGGTTTTTTGTTGATTTTTGGTCCCTAAATGCGAAAACGATAGCAAAAATTTCCTAACATGTAAGATTCTTGAGTTATGATATATTTCACAAAAAATTAATGAACACGACATTCCAAATTTGCTTTTCCCCTAAATTGAGGAAATTGTTTTAAATCTGGCAACACAGCGGCTCTGCCCAGTATTCGAATCTGCTTCCGCTGTATGTGAGACTTGTAACGCCGCTTCTAGAACTTTCACTACTCGAAGTTTCCAGAAAATACCAGAAATACGGAACCGCTATAAAAGTAGCAGCTTGACCTAAAAGCCATAGGACTATTACTAGGTCCGCTATAAAAGTAGCAGCTTGACCTAAAAGCCATAGGACTATTACTAGGTCTTCAGGGCGGATTTACGAAGTTTTGCTGTTTTATTTGCCTTTGCAACAGTATGGCAACACAGAGTCATTATCAAGTAAAAAAATGGCCTTCGAGAGATAAATATATTCCAGGTTAAGCTAACGTGAAGAATATAACTCTTGTTAATCCCAAAAATGTTTTGTTACCTCCATTATACATTGAACTGGGGTTAATGAAACATTTTGTAAAAGCATTAGACAAAGAAGGTGATGCGTTTATATATCTTAAACACGTTTTTCCAAAATTAAGTGATGCAAAGCTCAAGGAAGGTATATTTGTTGGACCACGAATTAGAAAACTACTAAGTGATCAACAGTTTGATCAAAAATTAACTAATGTTGAGTTAGCTACGTGGAGTTCTTTCAAAAGAATTGTTTCGGAGTTTTTAGGGAACAAGAAAGTAGAAAATTACGAAACACTTGTAGAAGAACTACTTGAAAACTACTGCAGAATGGGCCGCGCATATCTCTCAAAATCCATTTTTTGGACTCCCATTTGAATTTTTTCCTAGAAAATGTGGTTGCTGTCAGTGACAAAAAAGGAAAAACGTTCCACCAAGACATACTGACAAATGGAGCAACGTTACTAAGGCAGCTGGGATGCAGCAATAATGGGGGATTGTGGTTGGTTCCTTGTGAGGGAATACGATGAAACATATAAACGAAAGTTAACATTTGCCAAAAGGTACAAAAGACTTCATTTAAATGTTTTTTCATGTGTATTGTGGATAAAGTCTGTTATCCTCGGGATATATTGTTTTTTTTTGTTTTGATTTTATATTTCCCTACAATATGTGAAAATTTTTGTATAAAATAAAAATGACTATAACTCTAAATATTTACTTGATGGAAACTCTCATGTATAGCCATTATAATATTAGTCGCAATTTTTTTTCCTTTTTCGTTGACTAGTGTTATTATTGCAATATTGACAGTTTTTTTTTGAACGATTTCTACTTAAAGTAATCATCTTACATTTGTCGACATTGAGTGGCAAGTAATTTTGTTCACAACAATTGTGAATTAGGTTCAGTTGATTTTCTAATTCAGTACAACCGTTTACAAATTTAACGGTTGTATGAAGAAGCTTCAGATCATCTGCAAACCTATTCCAATTCAATGATCCACAAAGATTGTTGATGAAAATCAAAAATAATAATGGACTCAAACTTGAACCTTGTGGTACTCCTCTGATACCGTTATGGTGCACGAATCGTTTGCGTTGATTCAGGTAAGATTGTGGAGGGATATAACCAGAAAAACATCAACAGTTATACAACAAATATTGTCTTTTGAAAAATGAATGAAGAAAGTATACAAAAGAATACGAAGGCATAGAGGGCCATAAATCGTTAAAAATCAAGTTCATAGTCGGAATTTAACAAATTTCGTGTTTGAAGTGGACATATTTCATAAACTCATTAATAAACTTGACTTTATATCTTTTGAAAATCATTTGTATTTTGACACTGAACTTCGATTTCATAAAATGTCAGATTCAAAAATATTTAAATATTACTGGAGTTTTATCCCAACACCAAATTGTTTTTTTAACACCTCGACACGTGTTTCGATCACCAAGTGATCATCTTCAAGAGAAAGATCAAACTGAATTGAAGGGGTTATATTTTTAGAAGTGATTAATTTTTTATTACATTTTCAATTAAAGTTGTGGCGGTTGTAGAAAATTCGTATCTTTCATAAAAAATTTAGAAACAATAAGTTTATTAGAATAAATTACAAAAATATAAAAGAAATCACTTTCAACATGTTCAAACACCAGGTATTTCCGAGAAGAACACAGAAAAAGCGCAAAAACGACTGCAAACAGCAGACATGTGTGAAAGTTTCGAATTCCCTATTTACCTCATTTTCATCGCATTCATCCAAATGTCGATCAACCGTAAATAACAGTACAATATTGAAATGACCTTCTTCAAAACACAAACTCGAATATCCCGTTGAAGCAAACATAAACTAAAATTACCTGATTGCTCTGGGCAATCTCAAAATTGGAATTTCCGTTGGCGGCACTGCCACTGTTCCCCGTCATGGTTGGCGCTGGAAGTTGCTATTCTGTTCGAAAACTCCCTCAAAACTTCATCTCCACGCGAACCGGTGGCCCACTAGATTCCGAAAATATCGACGGTAAACAAACAACGGCCAGTTATTCAGCCGCACTGTGCCACGAATTCAAACTCTGAATGATGCGAGAGTGAGAATAAAAAGCGGAGCGTACAACAACGTTTTGCGCGTTTCAGGTGGGGAGTTCACTACTTTCCAAGGTAAACCTAGTCGTTTTGCAGTACACGCATTTGTTTTTCATCCTGATGTGCCTTGATAAAGATGCTCTCACGATCGATCTCTTTGTTTTTCGCTGCATATGTGCGTTATTTTTGCTATCTTGGAAATTCCTACCTATTAATACCATGAGACCATATGTTCCTTAGTTACGTTTGTAACAACAATCGTAATTTACCTGCAGCAGTGTTCTGCGATTTAACCAGAGTATTCGATTGTGCAGATCAGGGGTCTCCAAACTTTGAAGCCTTCGGGCCATAATTTTTTCAGTTTGTTCCAAAGGCCAATTTCTGCCCTTTAATATATTTCTAGACTAGGATAGTCGCAAAGTGCGTGACCTAAGCAAACTTACGCTTTTTTTGCATTTCAATTATTATTGTGTATTGTGACACTTAACGACATCTAGTGGCGAGTAGTGGTACTATGTACTATCTTTTTCAGCTACCCACTAGGTGGCATTAGGCGTAATTATTCCGATCACCTCGAGATGGCAGTAATAATTGCATATAAAAAGGCTAGCGGCGCAACTGCGAGTTAGTCTGCGTAGGAAAGGCGAAGGAAGCGAAATTGTCTATTGTGAAATAAAGTAACACCCGTCAATAAAAGTATTTTGATTTGACTTACTGTTTGTATGTGTGATTTGTTCGTATAGAAAAGAAGCGAAAAATCGACAGTGAATGCAGAACGTTCCAAGAAAGATGGAACTGTCCGGGAAGCCAATATGTGGCCTTATGGACGTGCCTATGTGGACGGGATTACCGGACTCCTGGTCAGTGGCAGAAATAGGTATGGTGAGGGGAACTAAAACTCCAAAAGCCTTTGCGAAACATTCCACTGTGGACCAGCCTACCCAAGCTGAGGTGTAAGAAATCGTGCCGACAGCTGAATGGCCGCAGGGTGATATGCGGTTACAAAACGATCTCCTTGGGGAACCGGGTGAAACCTCATTGTTATCAGCCTTCCTCTGGTAATGCTACGCTCTGCCAGAGGTGACCAACTCTTTCCTTGCTATTCGGGGGAACACACATATATGAAACAAACAAAACAGATACAACACAAACTAATCCCAAGGCTGGACAGAAGTGCTCACCTCAATCCGTGGCGGTGGCTTGGGATGAACAGAAATGTTCACCCCAATCTACCGCTTGGAATTGCGGCGCTGAGACCAAAAGGAGAGAGAGAGCGAAAGAGGTAGGAGCGGCAGCAGCTATAAGTGTACCCTTCTCCTCCCCTACTCCACCTCCAACAGCAAGGGCACTTCCTGCGGCGGGCGCCTGAACCTGCAGGAAAGCCTCCTCACTTGAACACCTCCAGTAGGGGAACCCCAGGAAGGTTGAAGAAGCCGCGCAATGGAAGTAATGTCGCTGCACCTTCCAAAACCTTCGGCGGAGGCCGCCATGAGATACCTCAAGGTTGTCAACGAGAGTGTGTGTTCGGCGATTCATGGCCTACACCTGCCAATATGAAGGAGATGTTTCGTAGTGATCTGTCCACCTTCCTGGAAAGGACAGAATGGACGATGACCTAGGAGGACAACTCCTCGGGAGGATGTACAATGGGTCAAATGTGGCCTGAGTGCTGTGGGTCTACACTCACCCTCCCTACTATACATATACACCTCAGCAAGTTTTGATGCTTTGAAAGCTCAAACCAGACCTTCGTTGGAGTATTGTTCTTATCTATGGAGCTCTGCCTCCACCAGAAAAGAGCCATCCGCCTGATTGGAGACGCGAACATCAATTGCAACCTTGATAGCCTGGAACATCGAAGAAAGATTGGAGATTTGTCTCTCTTCTATAGATACTTTCACGAGAGGTGTTCAAGTGACTTGGCACATTTGATTCCACCAAGAGCGGTACACATCACATGTTTAAGAACTCTTTCATCTGCGATTCAAATCCAATGTGAATCGCTACTTACGCTCAGGCCTTGAAAAAAAACATCGTTGAATGTAGGGGAAATATACTGTGGCATAGTTATTACTGTGAGTTAATATACCTCAGAATTAGACAAAATCATATCTTTAGGTATTATGAGTATCAAGGATTGGTGCGATGGTAATTTGTTATGTTTGAACTTCGGGAAAACTAATTCGATATCTGTTCGGGGCAGTATTATTAACTTTCCAATATCTCTCAATGAAATTATCTATGATGATAACCATACAATTTTTACAATAGATTTTGTGATAAATTGTGGTGAATTGTGATGTCTATAAAGTTTATCGGATTATTGGTCTCTAGTTCTATTGTATATTCGATGTTTTCGTCAATGGAATTATGGAGAATGTGTTGAGAAAATGACTGTAATTGTCGTTGTGTTCCTGTGTCAACATCCCTATACCAAAGAATACATAGTTCTTTCATAGATATTTCGTAGATGTCCATGAAACTGTTAGCAAAGATGGGGCTTAGAGGATTACCCAGTACGAGATCTTCTTTGTTGTTATATATTGTGGCATTGAATTCAAAATGAAAGTTTCATCAATTATTAATGAAGTACTGAATTTGTTGAAATTATGAAATTATCATAGATAATGATCTGAGATTTGAAAACCACATCACATAATCAACTAATAAACTTTCTTCGAGTAACTAAAAAACTTTCTTCAAGTCAGACAATATGTTAAGTCTTCCTATCTAGGAGAGTCAATTTTGGCAATTTGCCACCAATTTAGACGTTGCTTGGTGGGAGCCAAGAGCTTCCAAAGCCGATTTACTGTCTGAGAATATTTTTATTGACTTGTGCATGAGGTTGGATTTTTCCAATCTATCCGCACAAAATTCAAGAGCGTAAATTTCCGCTTGAAATACAGTTGCATAGGTTCCTAGGCAAGTTGATATCTCTGTCCTGGGTCTGCGACTGAAAACACCTGCACCAGAACCGGAAGATGTTTTTAATCGATCTGTGAACCAACAACTATCTGCTCTTAATATTTCCTCCTCCCGGAGGATCTAGTCCTCTAAATGAGTATTCACTGATATATTAAGGTTAAAAGTAAACACATAAAACCGTTTAGAACTTTTGAAACAGCCTTGAAATTAAACTAACCTAACCCAATACACGAAAAGGATAGATTCAATTTTTGTCTTGGGTGACCACGATAGCACGTCAAGAGAGATTAAATTGTTATTGATCAAAATATTCCGAATGGGAGGTCTTTGTCTGATATATTGTCAAAAATCACGAGATAACTGTCGTTCAAAAGGGGTAGATTCAACTTTCCTAATGGTTGGCAATAATAACATAAGAAGAAAGATGAAAATATATGGTTTGATCCAAATACTAATGGAAATGCTTTGATCAGCATATTTCGACAATTCACGAGAGTAAACTACCTCCATATAAGGGTAGTTTGGGTTTTAGGTGGAGAGGCATTAATATCAAGTAAAATTCATGTAAATTCGTCAATATGAGAGTGTTATTGGAATTATCATGGTTCTATATGGGTGGTCTTTATGTGATCAATAAAGTATTTCCTCCCAAGACGAACGAATTGAGATAACATTGAATTATATAGAAATTTTCTAGGATTTCAAAAAAGTTCAAATGTCCAAGTGCCCAAAATGATTGTCAATTCGGAAGGAGTAATATACTGATGAAAGCAATATTTCTGTTGGAAATTGAAAAACATATTGAGCCTTATCACCGGATGTTTATTCCCCTCGATCTAGCCAGTTCCCCAAGCTTGTTTATAGCTAGAAAACTTCCTTCTTAAAATAACACATTTTCACCATACCAGTAGATTCAATCAAACAACACGTAATAGTAATTTTTCACCTTACCCTGACATCGGGATTGTCGATTCCGTTTGAATCCGGCACCGAACTGAAAAACTCGGCTTCCTTCGATATTTTCACGTATTTGTAGTCACGGAAGGTTTTCTTGCTGAACAGTCCAGGCATTCCGAGAGCAAGATTTTAACAAGAAATATTAATAATTCAGCTTCCTTTTACTTTCGACTCGGACCGAGAATAGAGAATAGATGCCTTTTTCAATACAAAACCACTGCGGAACTGGCATGATATGATGCGCGAGCGTGTTCAACTTTCTCTGTGGTTTTATGAAATGATAATGCTTGGTTGTTAACTATAGACTTCAGGTCGGACTATCTTAGTTTCCATCATAATTATATGCAATCGGTGGGTTCAATGGTAATTAGCAGACTAAAATATTCCGCTTTTTGAAAATAACTTGAAGAAATAGATACGGTTGAAGTGAAAAAAAAGGAGACTGTGCAAATTAGTAACATACTCATTGAAAATGAACATAGATATCTTCAGTTGAAAAATACCCCAAATGTAAAATATATACAGTGCATTTCTTTAATGTCCCCCCACTTTTATTTTTTGAACGGTTCAACTGGAAAAATTGAAATTTGGGATAATGAAATTAATGCATGAATACTTTATTTTGAAGAGAAATTGACAGATGGAACTTTCAAGATGGCGACTGGGCGCCATTTGGGAAAAAAATTAAATGGAAAGGGGGGTCTTTGGGACACATCATTTTGAAGCTCCTGACTAATACTTCACAACCCTAGAATATGAAGTAAATATCTTTACCTACTACAAAATGGCGGAACATTTAATAATTTCCTGAAGACAAACACATTAATATCGATATTTCTAGAAA